CTCTTATTCATTAATATAGCATATTAGTCATCAGAGCGGATCAATCATCAATGTAAGTGTTATTTTGGTGACACAAGCTTAATAAATTACCGAGTGATAAAATTCAGCAAGTCGAAACAAATTAAATTATGATATCAGCTGATAAACTCGTTGCTGATTACTTAACAGTTGATCAACACTTAATGGTAAAAAGCGAAAACATAGTTGACAAAAGATGTTACAAGGAGCAACTAAGATCAAGATTGCGGTATGCTTTTAAAGAATCCTATATAAAACCAAAGGCGATAGTGCTGTAGATGTAAGCATCAAAAGCATTAGTTTATGTTATATACAAATAATAACTAAGATGAGACAGAATAGTTGATTACAGTCAATAAAGTTGGCATACGATGCAATAATATGAAGTGACATGATACTCATCGTTAACACGAAACAAAACCGCGCAAAAATGAAATGGTTCACAACCAAACCACATACAGATTGACGGCGACATGACACTTCAGATGCGCGCAGAATTTTACAAGTTCTGCACGCCTAATATAATATAAACGATTATCGCGTGTGCCAAACACCACTCTGGGATACAATAAAGTAGAACAATTACATTGTAGGCAGTAGGGAAATTTGATCGTGCGTGGTGTTACCGCGGCGAAATTCTTGTTTATGTTGGGGCACCCACTTTACCTCCCTATTGGGAGGCTACGTCCGTCAGTTAGTGACTAACGTCTATTGGGGTTCCTCCGGTTGTAGGTGTCAGTAGGTTTGGGTCACTTGGCATGGGCTAGTGATCCCGCCCCTCCAGAGGATAAAGCCTGGTGAGCGACGTTTCCCGTAAGGGAAACTGTCATAATGCTCGTTCACGGGAGAACACCACCCATGCCTGGATGTTCTCCCGGGTACTCGATAGAACAGGCTGCCCCCTGTCATTCTAGTGGGCTGACAGGAACCTACCAGGCATGCCTGAGCCTCCGTTGGAATTCACCCATATCTTTGTTGCGTTGTTTGTGTGTTATATCTTTGTCTTTGCGCGGTTCAATTTCCGCGCTATACTAAAGTGCTGATTCACGAATTTACATGCGATATTTGAATTTTGAGTAGACCCTTTTTTGCCGCAATTTGGCAATTTCTTTGTTCACGTAATTATTGCTAATTTTACGTTTGCTGGTAATAATCTAAGTGCTATATCTCCAATAGCTGGCAGTTTGTCTGATTGTTAGATCCCCTCTAACTGGTAGCGGCCCTAAGGCTGGCAGTTTGTCTGATTGTTAGATCCCCTCTAACTGGTAGCGGCCCTAAGGCTGGCAGTTTGTCTGATTGTTAGATCCCCTCTAACTGGTAGCGGCCCTAAGGCGGCATGTGAGTGAATGAGTGAGTAAAAAAGTGAGGTGTAGGAGAAGTGGGGAAGAGAACATGAATATGAAAGTATGGTACACTGTTGCCAGCTGACTCACCAGCAACAATGCAAGTCCGAGAAGAAAGAAGGAGAGACACTGTCCGTTATCTGGGTGTGCCACCACCGACAGTGCTCCCACTTCTGTGGGGCCGAGGGTGTTGGCTCCAAGAACCAGCCGTGAGCGAACAGCGCCTGACCCCCTCTATGGTTAACTTTAGAATAACAGGACTATGCTTTTCTCCAGGCCAATCCGTTCAGTAACCAGCTGACCCAGCACCACCTCTGATGGAAGATGTGGTTCGGATTGGACTTCGCTAGGATTTGTCAGTTTTTCTGTAGACACTAATGCTCCCTCGAGGAAAGACATGAGCCCCGGCGAAGCTGACCAAAAACGTGGCAGGGATTCTCACCCTACGAGAGGAGCGAGTTATAACACTATTATATTTATTATCTTGACAGTTGCTGTTGTAACTTAAGATTTGAAATTTTTATTCCTTGTATTCCTTGTATTCCACTTTAGGGTTGGACGGGTTCATGCTAGTAATATTAAAAGTCAATGCAAAAAAAAAGTAATTCAACTTTCCAATGTTTCTGATGTTAGTGTTACGTCGTGAAAAACGCTTGATTCTAACCCATAACCATAGTCACGACAGTGGCGTATCAAATGAACAGGGGGGGGGGCATCTTATATTAGGGGGGCGCAAAATCGTCGTTTGAATGTGGGACAATTTTGAAAAACTTAACTGGGGCATTAGCAAATCCGCGCATTTTGCTTTATAGTCTATGTAATAAGCGCCATGAGTTGGCACAGAATTTTTTGTCTCTGATTTTGATAAATTTGGTACCAAAAGTTGCCTCTAAGTGTGAATAATGCAAATTCACCGTGTAGCAAAATAACGTCGAGCTATATGTGGGCCTCCTGTGCATTACAAGAATGTACAAAGGACGAAAAATGGGTAATTTATTGCTTAAAATGCCTATAACTCCTAAAATTTTGAATATTTTGAAATAATTATTACAGTATCGTAATGAGCTTAGTCAGACGCAACTTTTGGTACTAAAATTATAATATTTGAAGCACCAAATTTTTCAAAAATTTGTTCAAAATTTCACACAAGGGGGACCCCTGTGTTCAGATTGAAAAATTTGAAAATAATTTTCCTTTAAATCTTAAAATATTAGTACTAAAAGTTTCGTCTCGATGAGCTGATTACGATACCATAATAATTATGTGATAATAACTGAAAATGTGAAAGTTATAGGCCAAAAACTAAAAATTTGCGCGAAAAAAGCACGCGCGGCGAACAAGCGCTTGATACATGTTTCGGCGGCGCTTCGCGCGCGAAAAGTGGCATGCAACGTATGTCAAACAAGCGCCGTGTAGCATTTTTTTCCGAAAATTGCTACACGGTGGATTTATTTTATTCACATTTTTAGACAAATTTTGGTACCAAATTTATCGAAATCGGCGCGGAGAAAAAAAGTTCTGTGCTCGCGCTTGGCGCTTATTACACTGACTACTAGAAACACACTTTTTTATAGATTTTATACCGGGATCACCTAATTTGTTCAATTTTAGGGAGGGGCTGGGGGCGCATTTTCGGCGAGGGGCGCCAACAGGCAATGTTACGCCACTGAGTCACGGACATGTCGATATCGTTGTACACAATGATACCAAGTACACAAATCTGATACTGATAGAACGAATAACAGCTGATGGTGCAAAAAAGTGAAGTATTAGGTCAATAGTGCGATTTCATACCTACTGTACTTATATGTTGCCTCTGATCTTCGACAATCACTAGCTAAACTGAGATACAATGGGACTTGCAAAATGCGATGGAAGATATACTTATTGTCATATTGTGGATTATTATATCATATATATGACCTGACTGCCTGAGCTTAAATGCCTGATTCCGATGATGCCCAAGTCCAACGAATCCATTATGTTGATACCAAGTGTTATGTATAAGTATGATATTATGATGAAGGGGGCATATTGCTTTACACCCAGCTATCAATGATGGATTGTTGTAGACTATTGGGCTTAGTCTTACTCCATTCACCATTGTTTGGGTCGGGTAATCCCGGAGCAGAGTGTTTCGCCCAGCTTTCAATGATGAATTGTACTCTGTTGAGCTTACTCCGACCCTCTCAGTGGCTATTTTTCCAGTACGCACTATGCCAATAAGTGAAATTATGCCGTACAGTAAGAGTGCAATCCACAAATTGACATCCAAGTCATCTTCATCACCTCAGTTGACGTTTCTGTAATATGAATGTGAAATTGTGTTTCTAGATCAAAAATACGCAGTTTTGCTAGTAATTCTAATTTATGACTCAATGTACATGTAAAACTAAATTGTAAAGTCACAATGCGTTAGAATATTATATTTTTAAGTTATGATATTGAATCATGTCTACTTATTGCCTCAATTATGTTCATATCGACGGAATGTCGCCTAAGCTAAAAGTAAAGAAGAAGAAGAATGCTCATTACCAGCCTTAACAAGCCATAGTAATCTAAATAAAAACCTTCTTTGAGGGTAATTATAAAGATTTACACTGCACAATACACATCTTGAATTGTCAGGAATCTCAGTGAACGCCAGTAACCCAATAACATTGTATACTACTAACTAAGCCTATGAGGTCATTTGGGTTGGACGGCACTAACCATGCTGTTTTGGTGTATGCCCCATCAAGAACGAAAAATTTAGTCTATCATAAATTTAGTCAAACTTTTGACTAAAATTGTTGTAAACCAAATTTCATGAGACTAAATTTTTCGGCGACTAATTTTAAAGGAGACCAAATTTCTCTTTCAGTAGAGCATATATGACATGAATATTATTGAGCTTACAATTACATAGTTTATAATTAATATAATTATAATGAAATCACTGTCATGTTCCTACTGCTGAACTACTTTGTTGGGAGGAAAGACCGTTGTGAAATTAGGATGATGATTAATCACTCTACACTCGACTGTCACGTGACTTTTACAACCCGTTCTCTAGCTGGCCCTGAACGACTATTCGAAACCCTAACCCTCTTATCTGATCCCAACCCTAACCCTAACTGCTAACAAAAGCTTCACATAGCCATGTGTATACGCGTACTGACTACTGCGTGACGCGCTTGAGAGGGCTCTGGTTAGAGCAAAACAAAAGCATATGTGATATGCTGAATTCCCAACCCTAACGAGAAATTAGACTAACTAAAACTTCATTATACGATTGACTCATATCACGTGATCGAGACAGTTTTTCGCCAATATCTAGTCAGGGGAGCATTTTAACCCTATGTCATTATTGGAGGGTGATTCGGAATCAGCGTCCGTAAATACATCGATTGAAGTTGGTTTCAACTGTCGAAGGCCCTTTTAGAACAATTTCGAAAATCGACTGTAGAGTGATTTAGCACGCTCGATATTTATTGTTAGATTCTAAGTTCACAGTTTTACATCTCTCCTTTGAGTTAGACTTATCAGTAATACGTGTGTCTTACTTTTATTTGTAAAACACGTATCAAATTTCAAAAACATTAATACTGAATTATGGACTTGGAATAGCCCCATTTCCAAAGAAATAAAACCATTGAATTTCTGTGAAGGGTAATTGTTAGAGTATCAGCTAAAACACCAAATTTGGAAATTTAATAAAATAAAATTACTACACAAGCTTGAATTAAAATATTAATTTACGAAAATTTTGAAAGTAGAAGTTTCTAAAATTTCTCTAGAGTACGTTTTCAAAAAAACTTACTCGAGTTACAAACGTCTTACAGGCTTTTATGTATCAACACATATCAAGTAAAATTATCACAATCATCGACATAAACATCAAATCTAAAATTTAACTCAGACAAGTATGATGCGGGAATCTATATAATATGTTGGTTTACGGATAGGATAGTAATAGAACCGTTCTTCAATGTTTCTGAAAAACGAACTTTTCTGATATTCAAATTCATAAAGGTTTTCCGAATATCTTTTGGGAAAGCTCGTAAACTCAAACGATTACTGTTAAACTTAAAAGTAAAAGATATCGCCAAATACAGAGGGACCCTCCTCATAAAGCAGCGAGGACAACTTCGTCGAAATCATTTTGCTCCCATCGAAATGTTCAACCAAAAGCTACTTTACAAAGAGGACTAGTTGAGCAACGTGGTGTATTTATAGCTATCAATAAATCAAATCTGTAAACGTAACAACACTTTAAAACCGGTTTAAACATCACAAAATAATAATTTCAACGTTTTGCCAAAAGTTCAGAAACACAAAAGTTTATATTTTATACATAAGTTCTGTTGCGTATCAAATGACGGCCGTACAACTAAACGGCCGCTAATACGTAAATATCAGTCTTCATAGGAGAAGTAATGAGTTTTTAGCGATATGGATTACCAGGGAACAATAATCGTTGCTAATCTCCAACTAAGCTTATCAATGGCTTTAACGAAATTAGTTCATTGCGAATACGGGCGTATATCGAATCAGAATCGGGATAGCCGACTTTCTAGTTTAGTTCTATGTAAGTACAAAAATAAAAACGAAAATCGGGAAAAATCAATTTAGAAAAGAGGTTCATCCCTCGTAGCAGTCTAGTTTTTCTCGCATTCTTCATTTTCCAACGCGAAAACTATCTGAATTCCAACGCGGGAATTGGCGCATCCGCTTCGAAGGCCACAATAAATTGACGAATTGAATGGGATCAAGGAGTGTTGCTGTAACTCGGCCTTGGCTCACGGTTCTTTTCACCTGTGGATACCATTCTGCATGTGATGACCAGACTGTTGAAGCTTCGTGATGCACTCCCACAGACGGCATCTGGGACCAATCCTGAAAGTAAACTCACGTTATTATCAAGGGACTAATAAATAACATCTCGCTAAATAAAGTGTAATATCCGGATAGAAATAAAGCATGGAAAATATCGTTTGTTTAAATTAGTAAGTAGTAGTAGTATAGTTTTTAATGACCAACAAATGCACCACTTACTTAAGTCCAATATCTCGGAGATCATCTTTTGTCACACTCTTGTTAAAATCAGTCAAGGTAAACTCCTCACGAATGATCTTCCTTATTGTTTCGTCGGGGAACTGGTTAAACCTCAGCCAGGCCACCAGGTCCTGGTCGTGGTATTTGTCGATATCATCCTCGGTGGAGCTACCGGAGGGGAAGGGGCGTTTACCGTTGCCGTTTCTGAGCTCTGTGCTAAGTACGTTGTACATCTCCGTCTGCGATCTGAAAAACTTCCGGAACAGTTCCTCCTGCTGCTCTCCTAAACGCCTGCGGAGTGCAGAGGTTAGAACTTGTTTAGGAAGTTGCAAATTAATTGGAAATGTTATATTTGACAGATTCTTCATGTCCGACAGTTTCATTAATCTAAATTTTATCAACTTGTAGCAAAGTCGTAATATCAAAGAAATTCAAAGCTCGTTAAGTACCTGAAGAAGTCGTCCTGGATCTCGGTGAGTCTCCTAAAGTTGAGTTGGTTTTCCTCACTAGCACAGCTGGGACTTTGTCTCAACGCTGAGTCACTCGGAGTCTCTGTGTCCATGGACGTTAACCGGGACAGCTCTGAGGAAGAAACAGTTAGTTGCTAGTTGGTGTAATTGTTAGAAGTAGAACTTGCTAGGGAATATTTTGAAGAAAAAACAAATTTTTATGTTATGATATCCCGAACACCAACTTGGCAGTCGATTATTAGACTAATTTCGTGTAAAGCTAGATTACTCTCAACTGAACACTTTGAAATTAAATTTGACAAGGATTTATCCTATATTTTAAAGTGAAATTTAAATTGAGCGGTTAGCGAGTACCTGAACTTTTGACAAATCCAAATTACCAAGCTTAAAACCTGCTTAAGATACAGCTAAGATAAGCCTCGAAAAAGATACATCAAAAAAAGTGTGGCTCATGAAATAAAACTTGATCAAATCAGTTCTGAGCGCGGACAAGTTCAGTGCTGATGCTCCGTATCTGTGACCATAAAATCTAATTTGCAACATAAAGATAAACTGTCACAAAAAATTGGCCGACTCAACACCGTGTTTTTATCGCTTGACAGCATGAGCAAACTGTGGAAAAGTCGAGTTAAAGTGAAAGGTGATATATTGGGCGCGATACTTTATTGATTATGATAAACCTGTAGTACAAGTAGTACCTGTACCTCTTAGCTTAAAAGGGTATTATTTGACCTCTTCATAATGCATTGTTTAGACAACGAAGAAGGAAAATTGTACAACTTTCAGCAAGTTTAGTCTTGACACCCTCTTCAGTAGCCAGTAAAATGCGAAAATTCAAAATATGAAAATTACAATTTAATATTTTGAATCACCTTTATCGTTTCCGCTTGTTCAGTGATTAGAAGACTATAAAGCTGTGATGAAACTGACTGAAGAACGAATCAAAGGTCTCAATTTGGGACTTTCAAATCAAACAATAGGTCAGTTTCACAAACTTAATGAAGATGAACATTGAAGACGTGATACCCTTGTTCATCGTAACGAATGATTTGATCTCAAATGTTCTCTTTGCAGGGAAACATACCATACTAAGAACGTCAAATTGTCCCGTAAGAGTGCAATTTCATTACCACGTTCAATTAAATATCCTTCAAGTGGATAAATATTGTATAATTTGTGCTTCACTTGACTTAAACAGATTGTTAATGAGAAGTGTCGATTTGTTTGTAAGCAGGTTACTCCCCAAATAACTACGTTGTCATGACTACCACATCCCTAAAATAACTCAGTCGTCATTGTTTCACAATCGGAGTTATGGCGGAGCATATCAATCAGATATTTCAGGAGACTGCTAAATTTTTAAAAACACCTGCTTTTAAATGTTCGAAACAAGTTTTCTGTCGAGTTTAACAAGTAACCAACACACTGACTTATGCCTCGGTTAAATAGTTGGCTAATATTATAGTATTCAGTGGTCTACCCAATTACAGATTGAAAGTCAACACAAATCAAATATTTTCTTTGAAAAATACTGAATAGCATTAAAATAACGTCAACAAATAAAATAAAAATTGTAGATAAAATCATAATAATTATGCTACATAATTAACCAACCCATATCGTCTTCAACTAGAGTACCCATACATATAGAAGGAGAATTCAACAGCTACTCAACACAGAGATTAGTTCAACAGTCAACACACAGATTAGTTCAACAGTCAACACACAGATTAGTTCAACAGTCAACACACAGTTTAGTTCAACAGTCAGCACAGAGATTGGTTCAACACAGAGATTGGTTCAACACAGAGGTTGGTTCAACATCATAGGACGAAAATACAACACAAAATGTGATATTAGATAAAGGTGATTAGTGGTGAGTTGTATCTGATTTGTGTTATTATAATGTTAGTGTGTGTTTGTTAGGTGTACACTGTACGTGTGCTGTAATTGCAAATTTGTTGCCCCTAATTTTTAATTAGTGCTTATTACAGTTACTCAAATTTTGATAGGAATACTGTTAACAATGAAAAACAGTTTGAATTTGATTTTGTAGTATTAAAAGCTTTTATTAAAATTGGATTGTTTGGTAAATCAAAAGTTCATGGGACATTCTTAATGGTTTCTGAAGCAGAGTAAAATGCATTATTACTATTATCATTCGTGATGACTATGAATGCAGAGTTAAGATTTTATGATCATATTTTAGGTAAGAAATGGGTTTCATGATTTACACATTTATTATCTTATGAAGATAATGACGCACTCTTCGGTAAACAGAACAGAACATGAACGAAAACAGAATATATAATGCAGCAAGGCACGACGAGAAGGTGTCTGGGGTGGTTTCAGTAATGTTCCAGTGATGTTTCAGTTGATTTGTTCTACTTATAGTATAAGTGATGAAAGGAACTCAGGCCGAAGCGTCAGACAGATTACCAACTTTAAACGTTTGCATACAACCTTTTGACCCATCCAGTAACTTTCATAGTTCATACACAACTATATTACAAAAATGAGAAATACATAGTGAACCTGGCTTTGTTTCGATATTTGAAATGAAAATGAAAATGATACGAAAATTAAATGACATAAAGTGTAGGCCTTACACTGTGCTTTCAGCAATACTCATAAAATGTTCAACATTTAAAAGAATGTTGAATATTATGTTTTGACATGATTAATTTCGGAAATGACGAAAGGTCGATATAAGTGGGATTAACATACCTTAAACCGAAATTTAAAAATATATTTGTTCGACCTTTGATACAAATGATCAAAGCTCGATCGACAATTCAAGCGAGAATAAAAATAAATTAATATAAGTAAAGTAAGTTCATCACGCGAAAGCAACAAAACAAGACAAATAACGTAGAATGTGTTTAAATCCGTGGATTTTACAAAAAATGATTAAACTCTGTGACTTACATTAGTTAAATTAAAACAAACTTACAACGATGTTCACTAAACAAGGCGAAAACTAGAAATAAAGGTTATAAACTAACCAAGTTGGTTGATGGAAACTATTCTCATCTTGTACCCGATATCTTCCTCAGTGTCAGGGGAACTTGTGGACACTTTACAAGGCATCATGCTCTCTGAGGGTGAGAGAAGAGCACATCTCCTCACCACCCCGTGTTGGATCACACTTTCTCGTGATGCTACTGCCATGATAAGAGATGATGGGGGCTCCAGGCTACATCTGGTTTATCCTTCGCAAAGTTATTTCGGTCAGCTTTACTTACATTTGGTAAAGTACAGTATATACGGTAGCAAGAAAATAATGGGAAAGAACTGGTGACAGTAGAATAGTGAGTAGATTCTAACTGCAATGGTTCATCAAAGAGTAAAATTAGGTCTCAATTAGTTCGATTGGTTCAACAACAGCTAGGAATTTCGGTTTAATGGAATACAGCCAGATGTCAGGAACTCTAAATGTACAAATAAGACAGAGTTCAAACAAGCTATCAAGTAAAAGTGGTCGGGCGATATAACTACATACCAGGTTACATACCAGGTTACATACCAGACTATATACCAGGTTACATACCAGGTTACATACCAGGCTACATACCAGGCTACATACCAGGTTACATACCAGGTTACATACCAGGCTACATACCAGGTTACATACCAGGTTACATACCAGGCTACATACCAGGTTACACACCAGGTTACATACCAGGCTACATACCAGGTTACATACCAGGCTACATACCAGGCTACATACCAGGTTACATACCAGGCAAGTGGAAACAACAACCATAGTAGCACAACAGAGTAATGTGTAAGCTCACGCCACAAGATAAAGCGACAAACAGACCTAGTAATTGGCTGTGCTCTTGTAGCCACCAGGAAATGGTCGGGTACGCGGTAAAAGCCACGACCAAGCAGTAACAGTGTACCTTCTCTGAACACTCTCTCAATACACACGGAAATCTTACATTTACCCACCGTCCCAACGAGACAAAAAGGTCGAGAAACTTGTTAATTCGAGAGAAAAAAGAGGCGGGATATGCAGAAAAACTAGAAGCGCAGCAGTGAGAGTTGAGTGTAGCAACACACACTGCTTGCCTAGTCTTCCGGGTTACACAGCGGCTTGTATTGAATATTATTCGATAAATGGTGTGTGCCGTTATATTGTTGCTATAAACGGGTACCGCAACCAGCACCGTGCAGGCGTGCACTAGAAACAGGTACCAGCACCGTGCAGGCGTGCTCTATAGAAATAGGTACCGTGCACTAGAAACAGGTACCAGCACCGCGCACTAGAAACAGAGTTTTGTGCAAAATAAAGTTTTAATGCCCATTGCAGCAGAACATTTAAATTGTGATTGTATTTCATAAGTTTGATTCGGGCGAAGCATCAAAAAAGAACGAGGGATGGGAAAAATTAGGCCGAACACTAACGATTCAAAATGCCAAAATGATACAATTATAGTATCCATGTAAAAATGTAAGCCAGAGTTGTGGCAAATTATTGTGAGAAATTTCATGAAAGATTGGTTCAAAAATGCAACTTGAAACTTATATACTTACAGTCCAGATGTAATCTGCAACAACTACGTTATTTAATTAAGTTATTTACGAAATTATCATGCAGAATTTAACCAAAACTCCAGAAGTAAAAGTTCCATCCCCTAAATAAAAGGAACACCCGTGTAAGGAGGCCACACAGCGAATATGTAAGCAGAGTTACGAGGAATAAAACTGGAAGAGATCGGAAGAGCAGCTGACCACCATGTGATCACGTGACACAGAACTCAAGGTCACGTGTCACTGTGGAGTAGTGGTAACTTTAGTTTGAGTAGGGGCCCTGAGTGTGATTTTAAGAGCGGCGTACTTTGAAATTAAAGATAAATTCAGAATTCTAGAATAAGAGTTAGTGACTATCATGATATAACTACACGCCCATTCTTAGCGAATGTTCTCGGGAACTGGAAGTTGGTGGAACTCGTTCTGAGCGATATAATATGTGAACTGAGTCAATATCTTACTGGAGGTTAGGTAACACTACGTGTTCGACTGTTCATCCCTCACTGCTTCTATGTTACCACATCACGCTATTGCAATATCAGTGGTAGTTATAGCTGCATAATTAAATATTAGATTGTCTGGAGAATATACCCTGACATAATATAGAGATATAGGATTAGGAAGTAGGAACCATTACAACATTTAACGGAACCAGTATGGGTGGTTTACTTCTTAAAACATTACCTAATGGAAGTAGGAAGTAGGAACCATTACAACCACATTTAACGGAACCAGTAGTTTAAAAGTTCTTAAAACATTACCTAATGAATTTGCATCTCAACCTGATCTTAATCAATTCCTTAACCCTGGAGCTTATATTACAATAACCGTATAATCTCAAACTATCTTAGCCCTCAAGAATTTAAAAAGCAAAAACTAATTTTACTTTTCAACATTAGTTGTCGAGGGAACAGTTAACATGAACTTCATGATTATTCGTAATCTTAAAAGTCGAGAATGTGGGAAGACCTATGTTAGACTGACAGTGATACAGCTATCAGAATTAGTTCGGCAAATCCCGGGCAAATACCCCAGTTAACCTCATTGTGAAATAAATTAATAACTGACAACAGTGGTGTAATGGAAGTCTCTTGCGTGGGTAGCTCACTTGCAGTAAAGTTGCTTGTCTGCAGGGTGAAACTATCAATGAGGACAGTTAAGTGAGTGGGAAGTCACAAAAACAATGACCCAAACCTACTGACACCTACAACCAGAGGAACCCCAATAGACGTTAGTCACTAATGACGGACGTAGCCTCCCAATAGGGAGGTAAAGTGGGTGCCCCAACATAAAAAATTAAAAAAAAAAACAAAAAAAAAAACAATGACCTTGCTTCAGTTTCAGCAAATCTAATCGGTTGCCTTACAAGTAAACAGCACAATTATTGTGAGTTGGATGTCATTAAAATAAAGAGTTCTAAGAGACCGTATTTAATGACGATGTTATAACGCGAACGTGGGTCATGGGTGCCTTTAAAAACGTGGACGCCTTGAACAATTCTCTTTCCACCGATATTGTATGATTATATTCTATGGAAATTAAAATTATGATTGAACCGCTTATTTTTTGACAAATGACATCAATCAACATGTGTGGGTTTTTAAAGAAAGCTAGTTTGATTGGCTCAGCGAGGTTTCGCTGACAAAGAGGTTAACACTGTCAATATTCAAACAAACCTACAGTGACGCAATGTTTATGAAGGAGCAATGTTTTGACATCCTGACAAATTTACATAGCCAGAGTTCACAAAAACTGAAACGAAGCTAAACTAGAGGTAACTTAAAAATTGGTCGGCATTGGATTAGTGACAGTAACGCGTAGGATTGACGTCTTGGATTTGTAATGAACTCTGGACTCCCGTCACTCGTGAATTAGTATTTCTAATTCTCTGGATTCTCGTGAATTAGTTGACATGTTCTTACAACTTCGCCTATAAGACTCCGAGAGGTTTCATTTCCAAAGTTTTAAAATTAAACCCCCTTTGACCCTGACTTTTTCCTTACGAAAATTTCTGATGATAGTTGCATTTTTCTTTCCATCATGATTTCGTGAAAATCATTGACAAGCTCAAAAAAGATACGCGGTTATGATAATTATCCTCATATAATATGATACTCCCATTCCTATTGTCAATACGACAAGCAACTTGTCAGATAGTGAGCGCTTAAATGTCGAGACTGAAAGATTTCTGATTTTCACCAACGCAACTGTCTGCATCAGAAAAAGTTACTAAATATTAGTCAATTGAAGGATTACCCCAATGACGCTGAGCAGTCTCTAATCACATATAAGGATTATAACAGTATAACAGAGTAACAGTGTAACAGTGTAACAGTGTAACAGAGTAAAAGTGTAACAATGTAACAGTGTAACAGTGTAACAGTGTAACATAGTAACACAGTAACAGAGTAATAGAGTAACAGAGTAACAGAGTAACAGTGTAACAGTGTAACAGAGTAAAAGTGTAACAGTGTAACAGTGTAACAGTGTACCAGTGTAACAGCGTAACAGAGTAAAAGTGTAGCAGTGTAGCAGTGTAGCAGTGTAGCAGTGTAAAAGTGTAACAGTGTAACAGTGTAACAGTGTAACAGTGTAACAGAGTAAAAGTGTAACAGTTTAACAGTGTAACAGAGTAACAGTGTAACAGTGTAACAGTGTAACAGAGTAACAGTATAACAGCTTAACAGTGTAACAGTGTAACAGTGTAACAGAGTAAAAGTGTAACAGTGTAGCAGTGTAAAAGTGTAACAGTGTAACAGTGTAACAGAGTAAAAGTGTAATAGTGTAACAGTGTAACAGTGTAACAGTGTAACAGCGTAACAGAGTAAAAGTGTAAGAGTGTAACAGTGTAACAGTGTACCAGTGTAACAGAGTAACAGTGTAACAGTGTAACAGTGTACCAGTGTAACAGAGTAACAGTGTAACAGTGTAACAGTGTAAAAGTGTAAAAGTGTAACAGTGTAGCAGTGTAAAAGTGTAACAGTGTAAAAGTGTAACAGTGTAACAGTGTAAAAGTGTAACAGTGTAACAGAGTAAAAGTGTAACAGTGTAACAGTGTACCAGTGTAACAGCGTAACAGAGTAAAAGTGTAACAGTGTAACAGTGTAACAGTGTACCAGTGTAACAGAGTAACAGTGTAACAGTGTAACTGGTGCTGTGTTTAGAAATGTCTTATAACGACGGTGTTACAACCACCCAATCGTGTGCCGAAGTATAAAGTTTTCAGTGGACAATGTGGTTCATCCAGTCAACAAAAAACACAGCTGACATTCCCGATGTAAACGATAAAAATGAATACACCTAGCAATGAATAAAGTAAAAATATCTAACTAAGCGCAAATCTCGAGTTAATTACTAGCTAAGAATTCAAATACAGTGGAGTGTTGATTTTACTGGCGAAAAGTCAGTAAGCGATCACTGAACATGAGCATGAATTTAGAGTTGCAAGAGGTGTATACTCATGACGCCAGACACGTTAACTCAAGCGTAGCAGGCCGACGAAAGAAACAAAATACAAATTCGAACGAATCAATGTTTAAACTCAGATAAGGTGAAAAAACACCCACTGCATGTGATTTTGGGTGAAATTTGATACTTAAATTTACAGATAAATGGTATTGTGGCGAGGGTTACTTAAAAACACGCTCCAGGTTAATAATTATAGATCTGCAGCATTAATGATACTTTGTATATTTTATTATCAATTATGTGTATTTTGTGATATGCTAATGGTCAGATTAATGCCACAAAAATGACATGTTAACTCAGGGTGATGCAAATTTAAAAAAGTTTAAACTTTTAAACTTTTCCCGCCCAGTCAGAATTGTTAATGTTATGGAAGCCACCCTAAATTGATAAATTCGGGTAACACAACACTCTTAATCCAGCAGTTTCCACCCAAACTGCAAACAAAGCACGCTTAGCAGTTGATGTGATCGGGACACATTTTTTCTTATCAATATAAAAACGTGTTCAAATATTTCGGAAAAAACGCCCGTTTCTTATCTTTGTAAGTTTTAGCTTAAGTCATTGCATGGGGCAGCAGAGAGATTCTGCGGGTAATTCATTATCCACACAGAAGATAATTACAACGGTTGGTTTACACAACATGTATTAAGATATTTGGGATACAGTGAAACATTGGGCTCCTTCACACCGGGTAACTAAGTAGAAGTGATCCAGCTTACTTTAAGACTTTATGATTTACATTATGCAAGTTCTGTGCAATTGCTCGGTCATATCATATCAGGTGGCAAACATTCGATTTGTTTGCTGTAAACTTGTTTCTGAGTCCATGTAGAAATCCAAATTGTTCAAAAACGCGTTACAAATTGAGAGAAATAAGAATCGACTGCCAAGTTAATTGTATTAATTGGGTGTAATTATTAAACGTGGCCCTATTTTCGGATATATATAATACAAAATAAGTAAAATTACAGCTTGCAAGAGCACAAACTCTGTCCGAGAACTGATCAGGTTCATTTTTATCATGATTTTAAATACGAATCTTCTGAAGGTGCCAAACATTTTCTGTTAATTTAGGCCGGTTGCCAAAATCATAATTCTCAAATTTAGACAAAATACGTCAGCTGAGTATACAATTTCTTGACAAGCCGGAGCTGATAAGTTGAAAAGGTTGAACTTTTGAAGTCTAAAATCATAGGTTTTTGAGAGGATTCATGAAAGAAAAAGTCGTCTAGACAGATGGAAATGTGAAAAGTTCTAGAGTCTACCTTAGCATGTTATGCGTTGCTCACACGCATACGACTTTGTCAAAATATTAAATAATTAGCTTATCAAGTGATATTAATTATTAAATATTTGTTTAAATGTACAATATATGTATAATGAATTATTATACCGCAACTGCAATTGTTGGTGACTTCAAAATCTTGAAATAGATTTAATTTTCCTTAAAATGTGGGGAAAATTTCTTGCACTTAAGCTAACAGTGTCATTAAGTACAGTCAATCTTTCTTAACCGTGATAAATTATCCGATCAGTTCTCAGACTAACAACGAACCCCACTAAAAATCAATACACAAATATAAAAGTGCTGGAGAGGAATGTTTTTTTTAGAAAAAAGATAAAGATCTCACTTTGCTCACCAGGCTGAAGGGCCTCCCGAACGGACCACACTGCTTTCTTCACCATGGGCTGTATCACCAACATCCAGTGAGGCTCATCGCTGTGGTCTTTTATTATCCCTTGTACCTATCAGGAAGTGGCGGTGTTGAGCCACTAATCGGGGGGTGGAGAAAGGGGGAAGAGGAGAGGGGAAGAGGAGAGGGGGCGGGGATAGAAGGGGAGGGGAGGGGAATACCTGGCGCATATTATATAAAACCCATCTTTAAACGAAATGATTCTAGACTAGTCACTAGATAGAGTACTGAACAACATGGTGGGTGAAACAAACGACGTCAGTCTACGATCTGTGTAAACTTCTGTTATGTATGTGAACTGTGTGAACTTGCAGATTTGTTGATAATAACCACGACTTCAAGTTTCATATCCCGAGTATTTGGTGACAAAGAAGTTCTATTCAAGGACCGCAATTGAAATTTCAATGTAGAAGGAATAGGATAAACGCAGGACAAAAGCAATAACAGTTTCTGGTTCTAAATAAGGATTTATTGCTTGTTCCCATTATAGCTAACAATCGGCTAACTTTTAACCTTAAAGTTTGACGCTTACCCTTCTCTTTGTCTGAAGAAAAGCCTTGCTGACTGTCGAAGTTTGGAAAGAAAAAAAGGGACGATTGGTTGGTATTTAGTAACAGTTGTGGACGGACACAGCTATGATGTTAATGCTTGAATCATTCCACAAAATTTGATTTTTCAAGGAGTTACCAATGAAATCATACAGTAAGGAGGTCTGATGTACCTTTTTGGGACATACGAAAAAGAGAATTTTCCATGAAATCATGCTCAGTATCTATACATCAAGGAATGTGGTAATCTTATTTTAGGGCCGACAAGTATTTAAAACTTGAAATCATCAGCTCTGTAACACTACTTGTGTGTGATAACAAATATTCGGTAAACTTTTAACATCCTTCTAGGAGTTCTAGAATCCACGAGATTTTTTAGCAGCACCGGAATTTCATGAGACAGAAGTCTTTTAGTGATTCGTTGTCGTGTGTAACGACTTCCAATTTCTGTAGAAAAGTGGGTACTAAGAAGCGTGTTGTAATATTTTATATCATTAGTTTTAAACTAATTACATCACTACAAATCTATTATATTTATTGAGGACGTTACAGAAGGAATTAATTTAATGCCTTGAGGAGTCCTAACTCTCCGAAAATGGCGTTTCTCTTGTCGCTAAAATGTTTGGTAAGCTAATACACTCCAACTACCACGACTGTTATCAGCGAAGAAAAACTTGCACAACATGCAAGAGTCAATACAGCGAAGCTCCGGGCGAAGAAAGTGTGGTACACCTTAACTGTCGCTGGCCTTAGACTTGATCCTTTGGTTTCCTGTAAGTTCCGGTTACATGCCGTAACTATTTAGCCATGGTTGTCCGAAGCAAAGCATAAGGGTGGTCATTTCAGTTGATGGCCCTGCTGCAGCGCAGCTAAAACAGCAAATAAGTAAATAAGAAAGTAACAACAAATACACACAATACACATACACAGGAGAAAGTGCCAAAGTCGGTGTAAATTAAGAAAAATTGGGAAGAAGCCAAATTTTTGTCTCATTTAAGGGATATCTCAGCAGATACCCTTATCAAATTAAAATATCACATTTCAGATGATGTTCCGGTATGTTCACATTGGAATATCTCACTAATTTTTAACAAACAGTAACACAATTAGACCCAGGCCTCTTCTACCGAGAATACATACATTAAAATACCGGACTGATTAGTGGTTTGATCGTGTACTCGGATTTTAGCGCCGCTGTAAATGAGAATTCTAGCAAAGTAATTTCAGGTGAGACAATCTTAATTAGGCGGAGGCCAGGCTGATCTCATCGAGCGGCTGTAAATTGTAAAATTGTGGTAGCAATGTTTAAGGTCTGGAATGAAAAATGTGATCAGAAATGTAAAAATTGCGAAAAAATCAGCAAACATTTGATAAGAATTCACATGACTAGAAAGATTTGGAATGCACATTATATCACATAGTGAAGGTTTTTTAATTTTAGCTTCCCAGGTTTTAAAGATTTGTTACAGAGGCCGGAGATTTCATATTTGATATTCTACCATTTTTAACTTTACGAGTCAAATTTGAAAGGAAATCAACTGACGGAAATAAGTTATTTCTTATGTCATTATTTGCTTTGGTCACAGTATAATTTAATAATAAAAGTTAAATTAATTTAAGTTCAACCTGATTTTCCTAAATTCAAAAACAAGAAAGTTCCGTGAACCGGTGAACATTTACCTTCCTTAATTCTGAAGTCGATCTTCGTTTGACCATCACTGCTCAATACTCATAAATCAGTTAAAAACGAATGAAAAAACTCTACCCGGCTTACAAAGCTCCTCGGCTTTCACAAAACATTGGCCAGGATATAACACAATAGAAATATGATCCAGATTTGAAATGTCCTCACAATGCCACCTATCCCTAGTTTTTGTAACCTCTGCAGTTCACTGATTAATCAGTTTCTGGAGCCGTGTTTTAGGGTGCGGTTACAGTGAACGATAACCATGAGCATGGGGGGGGGGGGGGGGGGGGGGGGGGGTTGGGAGGAAGTTAAGGAGGAGAGAGAGTTTTAACTTACCGCATCGGGGAAGGCTTCCACTGCGACCTGAACTTGTTCCAAACTATTCTTGGTAGTGGTGGCAATAGTTGAGATCGTATGTTTGGTCTGGATGTCTCCTTCTGATGCTACGAACTGAAATGTAATAATTAATCTATGATCTGTAATTCTAACAGAATTAACGAATTGATTTTAGAAATTATCCAACAGAACCATCTAAGCAGTTAAATTATAGAAACCAACCTGAGTTATATACTCCAGCAGTTTGGAAAGTAGGTCCTCAGTGACTGACCATACGCTTGAACGGGATGTTTCTTGGAGATGCTTCATCCACGTCTGACATATCTGAAGAAAAATATTTTAAAAGTTAATGATTTCCGAGTTACTGTCTGGTGTGATTTACGGGGTGAAGCTCCAACTATGGTTGCTGCACTGTGAAAGCAGACGACTTACTCATCAACTGGTCAAATTGTATTAAGGGTATTTAATTTTCTGAAAGGCCTTTTAGGTAAGTGACTTCTAACACTTATAACTATGACAGGAAGTGAAACTAAACAATTAAATTGTTGAAGAATCACAGCAAATTGAGAATTTGCCAAGAGTACAAGAAAAATAAAACAAGAACCACCGATCGCAGTACTCATTGAATATTTGCTCAAGAATTCTTATGAATTTTCTCACGCATAATCCTTGAATCAAAATTATATCAAACATGTCAACGTCAAACAAAATTTCACTGATATAAGTGGCGTATAAATATCAGCAACATTTCAATAACATTTAACTGTTGGCGGTTGAGAACCACAAAGAGAAACAGAAGAAACTTAAAAACTGAAGAAAAAACTGAAAACTAACCAGGATTTTGTTGTTGTTAAAGATGTTGAGGAGCTTCTCCTTACCCTTGGTGTGACGTAATAAGGGATCAAGAGAGCCTGAGCCGTCAGCAGGTGATACTATGATACCAGGACTGAAAATAATGCTGGTAAGTGGGGAGTCTTGTTACTAGGTTACCAAGCAAGGTAACTAGGTTACCAAGCAAAGTAACTAGGTTACTGGGTAAAGTCACTAAAGGAATAGCGTACCAAGAAGTAGTTTGCGCAATGAACAGTTATAACTGATAACATGACATGAAGTATCACTACAGAATACAGATAAGTATCACAAGTCACATTTATATGTTATATTATTCAGGAACTGAAACGTATCTCACTTTGAAGCTAATTTTGGATTCATCCCGCACTTAACATCAAACACTAGTACTAGTAGCGGGGTAGTATAACGCTACTAGTTGAATTACATACAGATAGTACATTAGGAACGACAAACAGACGAGTAAGACAACAGATATTTGTAGACTCTGGGGACAACAATTAGAACAGCTGTTAGCTCTCTTTCACTTTGGTAAATTGATCTTCAAGCAGTTGCTGACGCACAAGACCACACTCTCGTTGGAACATATTCTCACAGCTAGTTGATACACACGCTCAGTTCGCAGCACTTGCTAATTGAATCAATTAACCACACTGACGCTAATTGGGCCACACTCTCGCATCGCAGCACTTGCTAATTGGACTCTCAAAAAACGTGGTAAAGTTTCAGCGGTTTTGTGGTTACCTGTTCCATTGAAGCTGGATGGTGGGAATCTTAAAACCACCAGTATCTTTTTTATTAGACTTGGGTCTATATAAAATCCTGTATTGCATTCAAAACCAAGTGCACAGCATCGACATGAACCCTTGAAAAGCAAAGTATTTACTTATGACAACGAACTGACTAAAAGTTTCGCTATATAAGGGCAATTTAGCGATTTTCCCAACAATTTAGCGATTTTCCGATTCTAACTCACCGGTTGAACTCGGACGAAGCAAAAGCTTTAAATATGTTCCAAAGGAAATGTATTGTGTAGTGTGGGTTACGAAGCATTGTAATAGTCGTAAACGCAAATTATCTCGATGGCAACTGTTACAGTTAACGATGGAGTCCAAGACCTTAGCAGTAATGAAGATCACGTGTATAACTGTGACATGATAACAATTTGTCATTTCAAGGGACGGCCACGAAGTTTTATTCAGGCGCCACGTTTTAATGATATTTAATATTAACTTCTATAATAAATTGATGTGGAAGCTGTGCAGCAGCTGATAAAACAATCACAAATAATCAGTCAGAAATAGTACAACTGCTCCATGCACGCCAATTTAAAGATACCATTCTCTTATATCTTGTTATCCATGCGAACCACACACTCTTAAAGACCTGACCAACATGGTGCTAAACATTGATCTGGTAGAGTTTCCCCATTATCATCTCAATCTATAATTATTAAAAATGCTGACGCGATTGTATTATGATAAGCTTGAAATGCCTGCATGCTCAACACATGCATAATCAGCTTCTGGTCGCGTGTATAATACTTGCTATCTTGTCATGTATTACATTGTGTTTCGTGTGTCACACCATCTTGTGTCGCGTGAAGCTTTCCAGACATTTGTTCGCAACATTTTTACAGTGTATTCGTTTAATATCCTCGGTGAATTTTAACCAATTTTGCGTTTAAACTTTGTGATTTGTTAAACCTGATTAATGTAGATGATCGGGTTGATTATTCTTTAGCAACGTACCGAAGCTCAACTTCGTGACCTCAATAACTAGATCTCGATCTACATGGTAACCTCAGTAACAATAGCAAATAGTGCGTATAAACGGTAAACATGGCCGGCTCCAGCATGGGTCTGGAAACTCAGCTACTAAACCAGTTCACTTGTAACATCTGCAAATCTCAACTTCGCGAGGTTATTATTAACCAGCCCATCAATTGATTGATAAACTGAATATTTATTACATCGAATTTGACAGATCACACGTAGTAAACCCACGGCTATTATGACATTTATACAGTATTTGTCGGTACCTCTTTAGAGGGAAGTGAAAAATCGACAATAGCCAGTAAACTTTTGGGTATTTGTGGTATTTTAAAATTGCATATATATAATATAACATCTTAAAATGACCCGGCTCTTATATCATAAGAACTGTGTCATATTAACGTTGATAGTCCCACCCGTGACAGCGTGGTGTTGCCGTGCGACAATGTTGAAAGAGAAACAAATTGTTGAAAGAGAAAAAAATTGTTGAAAGAGAAACCATTTCAGCCACGTGCGCTGCCCTGTCTCCACTCGTTCTGTCAAGAATGCCTCAAAGGAATGTGCGGAGACGAGCTGTTCGTCCACACCCTAACCTGTCCCACTTGCAAAGAGGTAAGTACCAGGTTAAGTTGCTAAAATTAGAACATTCTTCGCCGAGTAAATTCATCAAAGAGAGACATCTGCACCAAACGGGAGAGATTTAAACATTGCGGAGTTATAGGGATGGTAGCGTTAGAGGGAGGGTCTGACTCTTTAAGTAATAAGTAACGTGGGTCTTTTAACCCGGTCTTTATGTACCGTGGTACAGGTCGGCAACACCTACCAGCTAAACTGTTTCAATTTTAAACGCTTTTTAAAATATAAACATTGTAGCGAGTTATCCATCTGGGAATTGCCTTAAATTTATGAAGTAACATATTATATGAAATGTAATTTATTGTAATTCACAGGAGGTTAACGTATGAAGCAACATATTATATGAAATGTAATTTATTGTAATTCACAGGAGGTTAAGTTAACGTTATATTATATGAAATGTAATTTATTGTAATTCACAGGAGGTTAACGTTCCGGGTGGAAATGTTTCGAATTTCCCCATGGACTTTCTGGCGGACAGATTCCTATCGGCCGTCTTGGAGATATGTCCAGATGCTCAAGCTGAGGGCAACGGTGCGGAAGAAAATGCGGACAATAATACGGACCGGGAGAAAGCTAAGAACTACGAGATGTGCTACGGTCACAACAAGATCCGTGACATGTATTGTCACAACTGTAATCAGGTGTCAGTTTATAATCCGTGACATGTTTTGTCACAAGTGTAATCAGGTGTCAGTTTATAATCCGGATTATAGTTTATAAATTATAGCAGTACTCCAGAAATACCATGATTTAAAACTACTACTATACAGCAACCTACTCAATTTATACGAACTACTACAGTTGACTCCCTAACTGTCACAAGTATAGACTCTTAAATTGATACAGTAGACTCTTAATTGTTACAGTAAACTCCGAACTACACAGATACTGTATGGAATGTTCGTGTGACCACGTGGACCACGCCGTCGGCACCGTTAAAGACGCCGCCATGTCGGCGGTCCAGAACATGACGAGCTTAGCAAACGCCGCCAGGGACCGCCACACCCCACTACAGGTGGGATTACTTACTCCGTCAAGTTGACAGCAGCACTGAACATTATGGTATAAATTTGGTATTTAAAGACCATATATGTGCATAAACAGGAGGTTAATATTATGAGTAGGTGACTGGCACTTCAAAATGATAAATATCATTCGGCGTACACAATAATCATAATATGTTTAGGAAGCGATTGAAGAGATACGACAGTCAATCGAAGAGACTGAAGTTATCCACGATGCTGCTATAGAGGGGGTAAGACTAAGTATTACCTACTTAATATTATAGTTTTATAGTTTTTCCATGATATCTAGTAAATCTCAAACAAAAAACGATTTTTAACTTTATTTCCGTAGTAGCGGATGGTTTAGCGCAAATAAAGTTTAGCGAAGTAAATAGCAAATGCAAGCCATTTATAATCCAATGGAGAATTAGGTAAGTTACGTAATTTTGAAATAACTGATAAAATTACCTGTTAAAAGCCTCAACATGTGACTCGTGAAGCGCGCTCGACCAATATGGACATTTTAATTGTTTTTTAAGCGTTTTGATGAGTGTATAGAAATGGAATACTGGCGAAAGAAATTCAAAAAAATGAAATTTAAGCTCTTAATAGGAAAATTTGTGGCATGTCTTAAACTAAAATGTTCCCCCGTTCTTTTATTATAGTATAAACACGCACTTACAAAGGAACCTGTACTTACAAAGGAACCTGTACTTACAAAGGAACCTTACAAAGGAACCTGTACTTACAAAGGAACCTGTACATTATGGAATTTATCTTGCGCAATCTCCCTATAGTTTGTAATTATTTGATAATTATGCGACTGCGAGGCAGGCATAATGTGAATTCCATTTGGTCACTCAGTCTCAAAGGGTTCAATTTTAGTTCTTGTCTATTTAATTTGGTAAATATTCAAATATTAAATTGAAATGGTAATTCTATCATTATTTTAATCTATATCCGACCGTCTAGTGGCCAGACGCGACCTCACAATGTTGCAAATCATAACGTGGGCATTGCTAAGGTCGCTGAACTGAAAGTCATGACAAACAATATTCATGGAAAACCTTCATAGATTCGGGGAACCCACACGTTAATGTTACCAGCAGCCCGTCTATCAGACGCTCAACACTGGATAATACCTCATTCTGCCTGACTCTGCCATATATAATACAATATATATCGTCTCGCTTTATAAATAGTGAGATACACATGATATATATATAAATCACATTTCCCCTGTTTAGCTGGACCGGTCGTTTGACGATATGATACGAGCACTGAAACACCGCAAGAAGGATCTATTGGAGGAACTAAACGATCTGAGATATGATCGGGTCAGTGTCCTAAAGATGAAGCGGAACGAGCTGTGTGCCACCATTAAGAAGAGTCTAGAGCTCTCACAAACAGTCACTGAGGTAGATTAACTTTAAGACAGTATTGTACAGTGGGGTGGTTAACTAATACGATTAGTGATTGAAGGGTTGCGAGCTACCAGTACTGTGCATAATATAGGACACATGGGGCGTGCTGACTTCTGCATAACTCTGTCAAGCAAGGTAGGGTAAACTTTGTAGTTACAAAACTGCATAACGACAGAGTATTTACTTTTGAAAGGAAGAACGGGTAGAGAGAAGCAACTGGCCTCAGATTTGGCGGTCTGTGATCACTTAACTCTTAATGACATGTAACGTCAACAGAGATCATGTGATCTTACATGTGAAGTTCATGACCATAGTAACGAATGATAATGCACTTTAATAATTTTATCTTATATTAAATCTTGGATGTTCCGCGTCATGGCAGGATATTTCACGTATATTAGCGATCTGTAATGGCCATCAGCCGTGACAGCCATGCCAGAGACATCCTTGGCAACAATCCTTAACATTCTGTATTAAATACAGAATTTAAACTTATATTTTGTCTTCAAAGATTATTAGTAATTTAAGTCCAAAGTGTACCTGATTTTAGATAACATATTATGTGTATACATACATACACAATACACATAATATTACAATATAACATATTATGTGTATACATACATACACAATACACATAATATTACAATATAACATATTATGTGTATACATACATACACAATACACATAATATTATAATATAACATATTATGTGTATACATACATACACAATACACATAATATTATAATATAACATATTATGTGTATACATACATACACAATACACATTATATTATAATATAACATATTATGTGTATACATACATACACAATACACATAATATTACAATATAACATATTATGTGTATACATACATACGCAATACACATTATTTTATAATATAACATATTATGTGTATACATACATACACAATACACATTATTTTATAATATAACATATTATGTGTATACATACATACACAATACACATTATTTTATAATATAACATATTATGTGTATACATACATACACAATACACATAATTTTATAATATAACATATTATGTGTATACATACATACGCAATACACATTATTTTATAATATAACATATTATGTGTATACATACATACACAATACACATAATTTTATAATATAACATATTATGTGTATACATACATACGCAATACACATTATTTTATAATATAACATATTATGTGTATACATACATACACAATACACATTATTTTATAATATAACATATTATGTGTATACATACATACACAATACACATTATTTTATAATATAACATATTATGTGTATACATACATACACAATACACATAATTTTATAATATAACATATTATGTGTATACATACATACGCAATACACATAATTTTATAATATAACATATTATGTGTATACATACATACGCAATACACATTATTTTATAATATAACATATTATGTGTATACATACATACGCAATACACATTATTTTATAATATAACATATTATGTGTATACATACATACACAATACACATAATTTTATAATATAACATATTATGTGTATACATACATACGCAATACACATTATTTTATAATATAACATATTATGTGTATACATACATACGCAATACACATTATTTTATAATATAACATATTATGTGTATACATACATACACAATACACATAATTTTATAATATAACATATTATGTGTATACATACATACGCAATACACATTATTTTATAATATAACATATTATGTGTATACATACATACACAATACACATAATTTTATAATATAACATATTATGTGTATACATACATACACAATACACATTATTTTATAATATAACATATTATGTGTATACATACATACACAATACACATTATTTTATAATATAACATATTATGTGTATACATACATACGCAATACACATAATTTTATAATATAACATATTATGTGTATACATACATACGCAATACACATTATTTTATAATATAACATATTATGTGTATACATACATACGCAATACACATTATTTTATAATATAACATATTATGTGTATACATACATACACAATACACATAATTTTATAATATAACATATTATGTGTATACATACATACGCAATACACATTATTTTATAATATAACATATTATGTGTATACATACATACGCAATACACATTATTTTATAATATAACATATTATGTGTATACATACATACACAATACACATTATTTTATAATATAACATATTATGTGTATACATACATACACAATACACATTATTTTATAATATAACATATTATGTGTATACATACATACGCAATACACATTATTTTATAATATAACATATTATGTGTATACATACATACGCAATACACATAATTTTATAATATAACATATTATGTGTATACATACATACGCAATACACATAATTTTATAATATAACATATTATGTGTATACATACATACGCAATACACATTATTTTATAATATAACATATTATGTGTATACATACATACGCAATACACATTATTTTATAATATAACATATTATGTGTATACATACATACACAATACACATTATTTTATAATATAACATATTATGTGTATACATACATACACAATACACATAATTTTATAATATAACATATTATGTGTATACATACATACGCAATACACATTATTTTATAATATAACATATTATGTGTATACATACATACGCAATACACATTATTTTATAATATAACATATTATGTGTATACATACATACACAATACACATAATATTACAATATGTTACATTACTACATGTACCAGGTAATGGAAGGAGATACGGATACAAACTTAATCTACAAAGAGGAGGAACTGTGCGATGCTCTTTACAGACTCTGCAACAAGTCTTACGTTATAGTAACTAAGGTATTATTAATGAATTTGTAACTTACTTACGTTATAGTAACTAATGTATTATTAATGAATTTGTAACTTACTTATGTTATAGTAACTAAGGTATTATTAATGAATTTTTAACTTACTTACGTTATAGTAACTAAGGTATTATTAATTATGAGTTTGTAACTTACTTACGTTATAGTAACTAAGGTATTATTAATGAATTTGTAACTTACTTACGTTATAGTAACTAAGGTATTATTAATGAGTTTGTAACTTACTTACGTTATAGTAACTAAGGTATTATTAATGAGTTTATAACTTACTCATCGTTACGCTGTTACTTAACACAGTTGGTATTGCCAAGCTGATGGGTTTACCTCCCAAAAAGATTGAAATTAGGCTTTAATAACTGGTCCTGGTCATACGTTTTTCAGAAAATTATTACCTGCCATTTGTTTAATTATCAAATTCTGATTATTTTTAAGGACGATGATGCCAAAGTCGACTACGAGTTCAAACCAAAGATGTTGGCACACGCTTTGGAATCTATCACAAGCGTTGGCGAAATAGAATTTCATTTTGATGAGGGATCTGAAGATGGTGAAGACGAGGAAGAAATCTTATATGATGAGGAAGAAATGGCGAGAGAGGAATTGGCTAGAGACGAATTGGCAAGGGAAGAAGTGGCAAGGGAAGAAATAGCCAGGGAAGAAATAGAGAGGGAAGAAAAAGCAAGGGAAGAAAAAGCAAGGGAAGAAATAGCAAAGAAAGAAATAGAAAATTATAAGGAAGTGATCAGATCAGAAAATAACGAGGAATATCGCGAGGAAAAGACGGTGGCTGAGAATAAAGCCGTTGCCCCAGAACAAGTTGTCGTACAGGGTAAGGTTTTGTAGCGTTTACTTTTTATTTAGTAGCTTTAGTTGATTTCTTGACAGGTGATTCCAACTCTAAGATAACCTGTTGCTCATAACGTAACTATATCTCAGATGCAGAAGTGCCAAGTGCCAGTAGAAATGTCAGCAGAGAAGGACAACCGACTAAAAAAGAGAAACAAAAGGAAAATGTTGCGCAAAATAACAAAGATGCTGGCAAGGAGAAGAAAGATGTGGTGAATGTTGGGAAAGGTGCTGCTATCAATGAGGAACAGTATAAGGAGAGACCGACGGAAGAAGAGGTTGAAGAAGAAGCTAAAGACACTGTTACTGAAGGTATGACCAGAAGTTTAGAACTGATCTTTAGATAGTGTATAAATTAGGTAGGCCATAGACAAATTACTTATTAATTCTGTTTTATCTAATAATCAGAGTTGTAACTCATGCGTGTTTTTCAGATATTCCAAGAACAAACACAACAACATCGCTGACGTCCCGGAGGGCAGAACGCAGTGCAACACGTGCCAGAGAGTCTAACCCGTGTTTCGAGGTGAAGTTCACAGCACCGGACAAGGATACTATCTCCAGATACCGGGATATCAGGTACTATAGATTTAGTTAGATACTATCTCCAGATACCGGGATATCAGGTACTATAGATTTAGTTAGATACTATCTCCAGATACCGGGATATCAGGTACTATAGATTTAGTTTGATACTATCTCCAGATACCGGGATATCAGGTACTATAGATTTAGTTAGATACTATCTCCAGATACCGGGATATCAGGTACTATAGATTTAGTTAGATACTATCTCCAGATACCGGGATATCAGGTACTATAGATATCAGGTACTATAGATTTAGTTAGATACTATCTCCAGATACCGGGATATCAGGTACTATAGATATCAGGTACTATAGATTTAGTTAGATACTATCTCCAGATACCGGGATATCAGGTACTATAGATATCAGGTACTATAGATTTAGTTTATTGAAAAGGATACTATCTCCAGATACCGGGATATCAGGTACAATAGATTTAGTTTATTGAAAATTTAGTGAAGTATTACCATGATGTAGGGGATCAAGGATGAGAGAAAGCATTTTTAAAATTTCAAAATTAAAGTTTTTGGTTTGAAAAATGGAATGCCGAGTAAGCCTTCCCTGAATGATATAACTTCAGTCGTAGACTTCGTAGTAACTTAGTCGTAGTTTGTAGGAACTGATATTAACCGAGTTTATGATTCAGGATGTTACTGAAGATAGTAATGAAAATGTTTTAACGCCTCAGAACTGTGTATTACTACAGCTCAACCTGCTCAGTCTGACTAATTGGGAATTTAAACTCTTGAACTTCAGTCGTACGCCGATAGTAGAGTTGGGAGGCAAGGGACACGAGGAAGGACAGTTGTACTACCCTTACGGAGTGGCTATAACACAGCAGGACAATCTACTTGTATCTGATCAGGTATTATAGACAAATTAATCGGTGTGTTTTCATGAATTTTTAAAGATTTCAGTTATCCTCAGTTGAATGTTTGAATATATTGCCCCACCTGCCACCATAGAGAGCAAGAAACATGTTGTTTTGAAATGATGAGAGGGTAATGAGCGATAAGGATCAGTGACAATCTTACGTATAGACTATAACACAGACAAAAAACTCGTAGTTCGTTCTAGACATTAGACACCAGACTATCAATTGTAAGGATTCGTCTCAAGATTCGAGATCGGGAGGTCTGTCTAGGACATTGGAACTAAAAATAGGTGCCAGGCAACGACAGTCTAGTGATGATATGTAAGAGTTGTCAGACACGGCGTCTCTTGGAATGAGCAGATTTATTGGCTGGAGGAATTTACAATCCAACAGAGATTATTTAGAGAATTTGAAAATTTTTTGTTGAAACGAACTTTCATAAAATGTTCACTATCATAACCAAACTCGAGCATTTTGAAAATTTTGGGGTGACTAACATTTCAAAACGTCTTGAAATTGTTGACTTAAATACGTTGAAATGTTGACTTAAATATGTTGACATGTTGACTTACGGGTTGAATCCTAATCTTTTTACACTCGACGGTCTTCTTCTTCTTCTCATACAAAAACTATTCCTTTCTCAAAACTCATACAATTGGCAATCAATTCCTGACAAAACACCGAAAGTAAGTAACGTTCTCGTTAATATGACAGCGGAGTTTTAAAATTACAAACTTTCAACAAGGCAAAGACAGACCAGGGTGAAGCCCTGTCGTATATGTTCCGACAGTAAAACACGAAAAAAAGGCCAAGAAAATAGGAGGTATACCAAGCAATCAGCAGAAAGCGCATTAAAATACTGATATGTCAGCAGAAGTTAAGAAGCTGGCGGTATTTACTGTTTACCAACTGACTATTCTGGCAGGAGCTTGTCGCATGTTATGTGCGTCTTTATCATATACTTGTTAAACTTTCGGCAAAAATCAACATATTTCGGACAATAAATATTTGGCAAGTGAGGTTTGGTTCATGAAACGTGTCAACACGAAGGAGGAGAAGTCCTAGCCTGTTATAACGAGACAACATTGTTCAAGATATTAGTTGACGGGTGAACCACAATAGGGGAACTACGAATTACAAGGAATTACCACCAATTATTCAAAACTCTGACATCTAATTAACTTCTAATTAACTTCCAATTAACAGGTGTATATATTATACACGCGTACGAGGGGCAACATACAGAAGTTTTAAAATTTAAAACGTTAAATATTGACCAAAGAGCGCGGAGGGAGATAAGCGCACTGAAAACGCGGCCCTGATGTTCGGAGTTATGAATAATGACTGGAGAGGCATGCTGACAAGGGGTTTAAAAAGGAATGTGTATGTCAACAACAAATTTAGTGACAAGAAATGAACAGTGACATAGTTTAGTTGACGTAATTCACCTGTCGGATGTCAAGACAGTTGTTACAGATATATAGAGTGACGAAAATAGCGTATTATACGTTATCATAACGTGTTAAAGCTCTCAAAGTGACGTACGTGACTGAGAATGTTTCGAGCTATTTACTGTGTTAGTTGCTATTTACGGGCCTGTCATCCTGTCAACCGAGTAAAGACGTCACTTTCTTCAAATATAACACTTATCACCCTTATACAAGCAGAAATCACAAGGTTCACAAAGCTTTGTAATGTTACTGCAAAATATCTCGCTGACCAGCCAGAATCCTCAAAATAATACGCCGACAAAAAGAATGACTCAGAGCGCACAAGAAAAGGAATATATCCAGCGGACACATGTTGTTAAATTGTAACAAGTTGAAAGGCCGATGTTCATTGTATCTCACCAAGAAGAAGAAGAGTATATATTTAGAAACTTGTACATTTTCATATAATATCTTGAAACATGTTTGTTGAGATGTCAGCAATTAGCAACGGTCTGATACAGTTGTGATACGGTAGAAAGGTTTGGAGGATATAATGTAGCATGGCTCTTTTAACAAGTGGAAGTTCACGAAACTTTTAAAAACTTAACTGTTAATTAGATGCAGTATAAAATATGAACCATCCGGAATTATAAGTTATCCGAGCAATGTGTCATTTTCGAAACTTTTAACTTAGAGATAAAAACACCACCATCTCTCATAATTTCCATGTCAAATTACTCTGTTTCTACACTAGAAAATTGACAAAATCTTACATTATTATAACCCTTCCAAACATTCACCGACCATTAACTACCCAAACTGAAAACATAGGACCGTTTCAGGGCAACAGTAGGATTCAAGTGTTGGACAGAAGTAGTGGGAGCTGTGTCATGTGCTTTGGAGAGGAAGGAAACAATCAGGGACAGTTCAACGGTCCTTCAGGTCAGTTATACATCTTGAGAAATTTTTAATTATATCTGGACTGGTTGTTTGTAACATAATTTTGATAGATTTACAGAGAAAATGAGCGTCAAATATAGCTGATTACTCCTTCGTGATTTAATCTACGGATGAATCGAAAAACCGTACTAATGTCTCTCTCTCTCTCTGTACCGTACTAATGTATGATGAACAGAGAACACCATGTATAACACATTATATATCTACACATTATAACCACCATTGGCACCATTCCAGATGGATTTTATTTCTAAGAGTAAGACTGAGTTAGACACAATTTGTTTGGTTTGAAATTGCCGGGATGGAACTTAGTCGTGTCACCTTATAGGGTTTCTTCCTGTTTTATCTCATGTTCTTCAGAATCAGACAGATTGTTCAGTACCGGTAACCCTATACCACGTACGAATCACCAAACTCGATTATATTTATTTGGTCCACTGTAAATCAACGTGAGAAATATAAGTATTAAATCTGGTCAGGTGGCTCTTACATTTTCTTTATTAACCAATTTTTTTCTCACGCTAAGTAAGTAGTATTTTAAGTACCGGGACTAGTTTTCGAGTTCCTACATCTAGCTCCTTGTAATGAAACTCTTGAGATTAATATTTCTCGTATTAAAAATCACCGATGGTCTATGATAATTGAACGACTTGCTGAGTTACAGGAGGCGTATTGATGTACGCGCTGTAAGGAATGAAATGGAGCCATGGCCCAAGGACATGGCCCTAATTCTTATACAAAACCCAGCCACAGAAACACGGCCATATTTAAATTCAGCTCAACAAAGGACAAAAGATAATAATCACTAAAAGGCGATGATTGATTTAATTAAGATAAACAAGGGGACGGGTAGTTAGTCGGGTGGCGGTCACTGACATTTAACCCTCCTTGTGGCTCAAATTCGTGAGATCTGCGCCCTAAGTAATATAAACTATGCCATAACGTTGATCTATCATCGTTGTTGATAAAATGTGTACTAATGTTGTTCATGCTTTGGCTTTTGTTTGCTTTGTGGCTAGTGATATACGCTAGTTTGTTATGCCGACAAACTTGCTTGCATACAATTTGCTGATAATTTGTACAGTTATTTTGCCGATAAAAAGCTTGACAGTCGAGAACAATTGGTTTGTTTTAGTTCGAAAGCTAGAACATTTTAAATGATATAAAATTATATACACATGTTTTGAAAGGTTTTCCCGTTAGAAGAATAACAAAAACGCTAATTAATAATTATCCAATCAAAGTCACTGAAGAGGACATTACACTGTTCCACTACATTTAAGGAAATTAAGTGTAAATTATGGAAGTCCGATCACGTGCCATCTGTAGAGAATTTATACTGTACATGATTGGCTGACATGACCTTCTGTTTGTAAAGTAATTCCATCACAATGAATAAATCACACAAAAAATAACATCAGGGTACCTAGATGGAAAGGTCAGTGATACCTCATAGTGGAGATCTTGATTATAATTAATCAAACATATCACTGATATTCATTAAGTTATCGATTATAAAATATCACATTTCTTATTTTCTATACGATGTTTACTAAAGTTTCGCTGCCTTTGACCCTTTGGATCAGTAACATTGCAACTACAGTGAAAGTACACTAGATAATCCATACAGAGAACAAAATAATCCACTCTAGTCAGTGAACTAGTAAAGAAGCATAAATTTAACCTCATTTATCCTCTGAATCCTGGTAATCATACCTTTTGGGGCTCAGTTTTTTAAATTATCTTCACACTTATCGCACTAGTTAGATATTTACTGTCGTGTCACCTTACTTCAAAGTAGAATCTAGGCTGTACATATTAACATTAATGCTTTTCATACAAGTTAAAACAAAGTCTTCATGTTATGTAGCCTGGGTTTGAACTGGCTTTTACCCGCTTAAAATATTTCCATCACGATACATAATACTCAATAAATGTAATAGATTTGTAGTGTTGTAATTAGTTTAAATATATTATATTGCGTTGTACCTGACTAAGTTGCATACAATTTTGGTCTATGAAAAACAAGTCGAGTTGAATGAGATTAATGAAGCTGAACGCCAATACTCTTCGTTCTGAACGGCTGATCGTATTTTAATCCAATCTGAGTCTGAACTCAGCTGCTTTCAAGATTTGATCGTATTTCTATATTATATACTAACTCGTAAAATGTCAACATAAATATCATAAATTCTTAAATTGTTTTTAAAGAAAGCTATGCTCTTTTAAACTAGATTTTTCAAATTTTTGCTGAATTTTAATCGATAAAAATGGATCCGTAACATTCCGGCGAATAGTAAATCCTTTTGCTTCGTTTTAAATGCTTTTAATTCCAAGTGACGCCTCTTTTTAGTTAGCCTTCGCCAGGGGACATTTTTAAAAAGCAGTTCAATTTTTTGCTTATGTCTTCAAATTGAGTTTACGTCAGTATGAAGTGTAAAATGTTTGATTTATTTATCACATACTGTAATTACTTCTGGAAATATAAATTCAATCTCTGTCTGATGTCATAGAATTTTACTGAAACCTTGCCGGTTTACCATTTACCCCCAACGTTAACTTGTTTTGTTGTTGCTGTTTTTAGTCGAACAGGTACTCCTTTTTCTTAAATTTTTATCAATTTGGTATTGCATAATTGCCATTTGCCATAACATGATTGACCGTTCTCAAATGCAAAATGATACCGAGAATGAAATCGGTCGCTCGCTTTTCCCATTCATTCACGGCTTACGAATTGTATAAATTAGTTTCGATTGATTACATCAATCAGATGCTGTAAAAATCTCTTTGGGTTGCGTTCGGGTCGATACCTAGTATTTCGGGGTAAGGGACAAGGGTGGTAGTTATAACTTATTGAATAAGCTGAAGTTTATTGAATCTTTATTGCCGAGTACAGCTGCCTTTGGGCAGTTCTTCTTAATCTATTACGATTGTAAATGAATGGGAAAAGCGAGCGACCGATTTCATTCTCGGTATCATTTTGCATTTGAGAACGGTCAATCAAATTAATATCATTTCCTTTTGTTTGGGAAAGAGAGACACTGGCAGCGGTCCACTCTACCCATGATTATGGGTTTTGGTAAAATATCATCTCTTTTTGATTATAATGTCAGGGTACTTTATAAAGTCGAAATATAAACTGATAACAAGAGTATTATACCCAACATTGACCGGCGAACTGATAGCTACTTCAGAAGCAATGAAACTACAATCTTCTAGATAAAATGAGTCATAGTACTTTCAGCCGGAGCCATCATAAGTGACATAAATCTAAAAGATAGTATGGTTAGTTTCTAAATATAAACTCAAACTCTGAAAAGGAAACTGCCGTGAAATATGAAACATCAATAAAAGGACCAATTATTTAAAAAAATAATTTATGGAAAGCCCCTCAGGCAAAACAAAAATCAATTATGCAATAAAGGAATCTTAAAAGGGTTTGTACTATTCATTCCTGAGGGGCGGAGGGAATTTAAGGCATGTATATATCGGTGCTCCTTAACATCTAAACTACTAGGACTTGAATTTTCTAGGATACACACTGAAACACTATTGTTAAAATTTTCCTTCTGAGTCAGTCCATGCTCTATATGGAGGTGGAGTCCTACGCAGTTAGAGTCATCATCCGTGTCAACCTTTTGCCCACTGATGATCTTGTAGAATGCTCTTCTGTGTTCGCCAAACCTTACCCGTAGCATTCTGGTGGATTTGCCTACGTATGGTTTCTCACACAGTTTACATCTGATCAAATATATGATGTTGTAAGTGATGCATGTACCTGGTGCTGGTTTTACCCGTTTCCCATTGATGCTGATTTGTGTAGCACTATCAATAGACTCACACGTTGCACAGTTCTTCTTTCTACACGGCCTTGTTTGACCATGCTTATTCCCCAGAGCTATTTCTTTCACCTTAACCAACCGGCTTTTGAGGTTGCTTCCTGTTTTCTTGACAAATTGGAAGAACTTTTTGCCATTCTTCTTTTCTTCAAGGGTGTTACTCTGTTGTTTTGAGTCACTCAGGTTACAAAAACTTCTGGTCTTCTTTAAGTTCTCCTCATACTTTTTCACTGTGGTGACAATGTCAGAGTCACTTCCGTAGGTTGAGACAACCCTTATTGGTAGGATCTCTGGCTTCAGTGTGTTGTCCTTGGGAGGTCTTCGTTCAAGGTTTCTTTCTGAGTTGAGAACTTTTTTGCTAATGTTGTTCACCATTTTTGAGGGATAAGCAGCTGCCTTGAATGCTTGGCTTAATTCACTCAATCTGGTTTCCAGTCGTTCTTGTGAGTTGATTATTCTCCTGAGTCTGATACACTGGCTGTAAACTATTCCACTATAAATGTGGTTTGGATGTGCACTGCTAAAATGTAGATAGCTCCTTGAATCTGTTTCCTTGATATGGAGGTCAGTTTGTAAGTTTCCCTCAGGGTCGAAACAAAACTCGATATCTAGAAAAGCCACAGGCGTGCCAACTTCCTTCCATTGGGATTCGTCAATGAGTAGCCCATATTCTTTCAAGGATTTGTTTACATCGGAAATCCACTGGTCAAATTTCCTTTCAGTGCTGTAGAAGAAACCTGCACCATCGTCAATGTACCGTCTTACAGTCCTGACTCTCTTCATCATGTCGGTTTTACTGTAAACGCATTTGTTCATTACATAAAATACAGTTATGTTGGCCAACTGCACACACAGACTTCCACCTGTAGGCACTCCGTTCTTTTGGACGTACCACTTGTCTTCGAAGCATCCAATAGAGGATCTTAGACTGATATCAACGAGGTCGACCAGCCAATCACAGTTTATTAATAAACTGATATCTTCATTAATAAGGAGGAAGTTTCAACGATTTCGAATTTTTCCTTTAAAAACATTTCCTTGTGTTTAGGGAAGCATATCGGTCGATCACTGACTGAATATGCCACTTAATACTCATTCAAGTTGGCATTAAATTCATATATAATGACATTAAACTGTCGTGGC